ACATTTATGTACGGTACATGTATATGTGAACAGGGTACCTGAGTACTACATGTACCTGACTGATCATTAATGTCAGGAACTGGTTCTAGATTACAGAATGTACAGTGTATGAATACTCGAAACCACCCATGCAAATTGATTAAAAACTTTTTAAATGAAGAAAGGTTTTTAAAAGGTTTTGTGGAAAAATAAAAAAAGGAAGCACATACAATGTACAAACAGATTTCACCATTGTCCCAAGGTTGTTGAAGAACATTTCTTGCGAAATGAGTGCTAATTTGAATCAATTTTCATATTTACTATGTAATTATTTTTGTACTTGGGCCAAGGTGTCTTTAATGGTTACCTGGAATACCAGTCTTTTATTTAAGAGAGTACCGTTACCGGTACCTACATGATATAGTTTGTGGCTTGTTTTCCATTCTCAACCATTAATATGCTCACAGCTGATAGCGTAGACCACAGCAGCTCTGCAGATTCTGGAGTGTACCACCAGCTCAGCCCACCGGCCAAGGAGATGCTGTCTGGAGAAGTCACCAAAGCCTTCCTGGAGACCCTGGAAAAACAGACCAGCACAGGTTGGTACATGAACGGTATGCATGGTGTATGATGTCAAATATCAAACTGGGCCGGCTTAGGAACTCCACCTTTCAACAAGAACTGTGACAGTATTCAGTTCACCTCTTGACAACTTGCAAATGGAACATCCTCCCCCAGACATGACAGCTTTACAATGTATCTGACATCAAATTATTCCAACAGAGTCTGGATCAAATATGGATGGATGAGTTAGCCAGAATTAAAAGCTCATTTCAAAATTTAATAACACCCCCCACTACACTGACCTACATGTACACATTATTACCACCATCTGGTTGTGTTTGCATTTTATGCAGCAGAAAGCAGAAATGGCTTAGCCCATGACTCAGAATGTTTTTCTTTTTTTTAGATGGGGATGATTTTACTAATGTTGTTGGGGAAGTTAATTAGAATGATAGTTATTCCTTTAACATCTCCACCCTGTTGATGAGTCTCTGATATCAAGTTCAGTTGGCCCTTGGCAATTTGTAGAGAATTCCTACATGTAGGCTTATCAGCCTTCTCTTTTCCATATCAGGATGTGATCATGTGACCTGGTTTGCCTGCCTACATGTAATTCGCAGATTGTGTATCGGAAGCCAAGATTATAACTGTGCACCAGGAAGGTTACAAAATCACACTAGGTTAATTACCAGGTTACACTGATACCATTGAGTTGCATGTAGAATATCAAAAGTCAAATCTACATGCACATGTACATGTACAAAAAACAAGCAGTACATACATGTACATGTACATGTATGCTCTCAGTGAAGTACATGTACATGTATAATGTACATGTACAGTACAAGTACATAGAATCTCACCCCCCCTCAAATTTGCCAGTTCTTAACCTGTGCTGATTTGTGTCCATATACATGCGGACAAAATGGGCAAAATGAAAAGTCTTGGCCCCAAAGTGGACTTTGCCCTTCCTGTTGTCTTCAAAGATCTGTCCAAAGGATTCTGCAAACATGCCTCCAGCTTTCTCTGGATCTGGGAGCATTTCTCCGTTGCCCTATTTGCTGTGCACTCCAGCAGTTGATACATGTACATGTATCAACTGCTGTATGTATGTTTATGAACAGTACATCCAAAGGACAGATCGTTCCAAATGAATAAAACCTGCTAGAGCTCAGTTTCCTGCATTCCACTTTTGGGGCATTAAGTATCGCTCAACAAAATCAGGTGGCTGGATTCAAGTGTTTACAGAGAGATGATCATACAAATTTCACGTCAGTCTTGAAAGTTTCAAGAATTTCTTACAAAGTGCAACTCTGTGATTTATGGTATGTGTATACAGATTCCTTTAGTTAATTACCCAAATACATGTACATGTATTTAAAGGCCCCTCATCTAGAGACCTAAAATTGTAATGAATTCAACAAATTAAATCATGAGACTGACAAACTACTCCTATAAAATGGTTAAATTAAAGTCCTTTTTATTCGTAACTTCTGCTTTGCTAGAAACAGTTTATTTTTGGAAGCTAGGTGTATGTTTTTAATTTTTTTAATTTGAATTTATGCTGATGTGTTAACTTATAGCAGGGACATCAGAATACATGCACATGTATACATGTAATTTGAAAGGTATTTCCATTCACGGTAAATATCCCAAAAGAGCGCGGCAGGTCTAGTTTAGGGTATGACCTAAGCTATTGCATGGCCACTTAGTTGCATCATCTTTCTGTGCAGGGGGTGCTGTGTTCAAGGACTGCCCACAATGAATCAATAAATTTGCCTGCAATAAATTTGGATCTTTATTTTCTAACTGTTCTTCTTTTTATTCTGTTGCTCTGATGCGAGCTTCTGTATGACTTTGCCTTGCATTAATTGTTCTTATTGCCATCTACAGTTACCAAAGACCTTCTTGGTGTTCCATACAAAGCCTTGCTTGAAAGTGAGTTTACAGCAGCTCTGTTTTGATAATTCTTCTAAAAATGCACCATCCCACCCATTTATCATTCTTCTTTGTTCAGTGCCTTTTCAGACAATGCTATGCATTTTCGTTTTTTTTTCATTTTGCACCTTTTTGTACCTTTTCCATGTGGTCTTGTGTTGTGCTTCATGTATTTTGATTTTAAATTAAATGTGGGACATTTAAGCAGTTAAGGTTGATATGTACATGTACAGTTGTGACTTGATTGTGAGCAGGTCGTGGTTTCAAATCTAGCAGCTTGGTGTACATAAAATGCATACATGTACCGGTAGCCTATGGGCCTCCACTTGCTGGAGTGGTACATACTGTACATGTATAGACCATGTATTATTGTTTTCATGCCAAGTACTCTGGAGATTGTTTCATTGACACTAGCTTCCTGGTACTTTGCCCAGCTTTTCTTGTAATTTAACTTGAAATGAGAAGTTGTTGCAAGCTCATTTTTTTACAGCACTGAATTCCGTAACAATTGTGAATTTACGTGTACATGTACTTTGTTGTGCGGTTATCAGACACAACAAATAAAACTCTTGGACAGCGAGAAATATGTATACATGTACCGGTAGTCTGTCACTAGCTGTTTGATAAGTGCTCTGATGGAAAATATAATGTCTGTTCTGTATATCGGTATGTGTTAGTCACTTCTCCTGGTAGAGTAGAATTTTTCCTAACACTTGACTTATTTGAGTAGTGTAATTTTGCATATACGTTACATGCACTGTCTTTCATGGTCCTTTGTAAGATGCTGGTATACTACAGCAGTTATATTGTTAGTACTGTACATTTGATACCTTTGTGATATACCATATATTAACAGTCAATATTTTGTAATAGTACCATACATGTACATCTATATGTTTTACATGTAGCTACCGTACATGTACCTACACAGTGTATATGTACAACATGTACATGTACGTGTATTACACAATTTGCACCTGCAGGATGTTGCAACTTTAAATCAGTATTAATTTTACCAGGTATGTCACTCTTAGTCTGGGTCCCTGCAGTCAAGGAGACACTGGCTATGAAATATTGTTGCACTTACAGATAGTTAATTTAGTAGCAGCAGCTGGAAAGAGTCACCAGCAGTGTTGCAAATGTACGTCATTTTGGTTGTCAACCTGTGAATTTGGCCCGTTCACACGCACAGTGTATGTCCGTCATGCATGAAGCCGTTTAATTAGTATGCACATGAGTTTCTTGCAAGGACAAAGTGATGCCTCACTTGTGACGAGTCATGAGATACATGTACCCGTCTTGTACTGTAGTTGCACTGCAGATTCACTGTAGCATGCACTGCTCTAGTTGAAACCGAATGTTTAGCTGTTTCTTTATGTGAGACTTACTTGTTCGTACATGTAAGTGCTCATTTCTGAGAAAATTACCTTATTTGTTCTGCCTAACGTTGAAGTACATACATATACCTGGACATGCCAGACAACATTTCTCATAATACATCACATTATTAGTCCACAAAAGTCTCATGCTGTTAATGTCTGTTGTAATTTATGCCAAATTTGGACAAAATTGTGTAAATATTGATCATATTCTTGGTATTGACTTCCTAAATGCACAGGCTCCAACCTACATGTATTTTATCATGCCAAATGTACACAGTAGCAACAAGCACCATATTTACGGTGAAACATTCTATTTCACGATTAGAGACATGTCCCTGCAAACACACAGAAAAAGTTTCAGGTACTTTTTATGTACATGCAGTCATGATGCACAGTAGGTACATGCAAAACCACATCGTACATGTAGATTGGCATACATGTATGTAGAGTACTGAAATGCTGCTTTGCAAGACTTTACTACCGGTAGCATTCTTGCACATGTACATGTATAAGTAAACCTCATTGCGTAGTACTGAAACACATCCAAATAAAGTTCTTCTTAAACTCTACTTCTACATGTACATGTACCTCAGTGCAGGTTTACAATTTTCTCCCACTTTCACATAATTTTGTACATACAGTGTATTCGTGTACATGTAAGAGGCATTGACAAAAGCTGTTCCACAAAGTTCAGCGTACAGCACAAGTAAGAAAGTCTAACTTTTCCCTGCATTCGTTGGTTTCCTTCATGTTCCACTCCTTTGTCTGAATTTTCCTTTGTTCTAACTGCACACAGTTACTTGTCTGAAATTTTTTTTTCAGAAGTGTAGATTTTGTGGCAAGGAAGGGGTTGAAATGTTCCAAGACATGCCTGTCTCCAAATTTGGTCGAATCTACAAAGGTCTGTGCATGTAGGTATGGCCTACTGTACAGTAGATGTACATGCGCATGTACTTTTAATTGAAAATCTTACGCATTTTATCGACAGACCCTGACTGGTTTCCCATGTTAAAGCCTGAGATGATGTCAGTAGCTGTTCAGGCGCCGGATGATGTCTTGTCTGAGGTCCTGGATAGCAGGCAGGCACTGGAGGACTTTGTCTTCAACCTCCCACCGGAAGAGGAAGAGCTTGTAAGAAACTGGTGGTCAGATGATGTAACAATATTGTCCTTATTACCTTGTGATATTTGCATAGGATTTGAGTGAAAAACATGTGGCCGATTAAATTTCAACTTCCGGTAATAAGTCAATTTTTTAATAAAAGTGTGAAATGCAACCAAAGTTTCAATTTAAATTATGTTTCCCTGTACCACCCACTGACATCCTGTTTGAGCAATTGCCTATTGAAATTATGACAAATATAATACAAATGGGCCTACGGTATAAATCTGTGTGTCAGCACAGACAATCAACTTGACACAAACATTCATTGCAGTCCATTGGTAGTGAGAATGCCTGTACATGTAGCTTGGCATTTAGTAGTTTTGGATTGAGGATGTTCGTGTGAACTACGTAACTGCGTTGTGGTTTTTTAATGTGTCCACGTACTGTTGCTTGTCACTGTGATTATATTTTAATGTTGTATGTGCCTCATTTGTGAGTTGTGACTTTTGTGAGACTTGAGGTTGGTGTGAGAGTCTTGTGTATGCTGGTATTTGATGTTTATCTAATGGTCAAGTGTATACTTTTTGTTCAGAGAACAAGTTTCCACCTGTGATTTGAATCCCACGCGGTGCACTTTGTGGCTTACTGTAGACCATCAGTCCCCATGTTGGCACAACACTTACCGTATATTGTGCAGAATTAGTCGTTACAGGTTTTATTCCCTTCATTGTACAATGTGTCAAGATGGTTCTCAACATTGACTTAATCTCATGAAAAGGTGTAACTTTTTCTAGGGCTGTGTCAGCATGTATGTTTTTATTTGGATTTGCAGGCTCTGGCTGAACAAACGCTTTTGTTCTTTCACTGGAATACGTGTACTTGTACAGAGCCTTCAAGTGATCTTCTAACCTGAAATATTCCACCTGGTTTACACACGCAAAAGAATTGTTTCTTCTTCTGCTTCTTTTGTTTGTCATGGGGTCTGTTTTTAAAAATAATCTGGAAGGGTTGTGCATCCCTTCTTGTTAACAGTTAACTGTATTTAAAAACAAGTTTGTGCCCTTTGTTGTGTGTGTACAAATGTACCGGTATACGTTCAAGTAGAACAACTTTTGAGACACCTACAAAGCCTGTGTTGAGACTATTTGCCTTTGATTTCAAGTGTTGTTGCCTGGCTGCATGCGAGTCAAGAATTTGCTCTGTACTTACCGTTGTGTGTTCTGTTGCTGGACAAGACTCTCGTGTATATCCGGGTAAGTTGACAATTTCTAGTGAATTTGTTTGACTAAAACTGGAGGGTTTTAGCATGGAAGTGAATTTCCCATCATAGCATCATGGTTGAGGCTGTTCATGGGAGGTGATTTTACAAGGCAGTTCAGAAATTTCATCTGCAGTCAACAAGTGTTTTTGCTGCATGTACCTGGTACATGCACCTTTATCACTTGAGACTGATTAACCAGTCATTAAATTCAAGTTACATGTAGATGTATGAAAGGTTGCTGTGTCATTTCATGTACACACTGTCACACACAGACATAAGCACATATCTGACACTTTTGTGACATACTGTACAGGTAAATGATGGGCAAGGCATGAGTGATACGGGGTACTTGTACTGTACAGTGTACATGTACATGTAGGCTAAGCAGTACATGAGTGATATGGGGTTCATGTACATGTATGTAGGCTAAACGGTACATGTACCATATAGCATTTTACTTTTTCTTTCAAACAGAACACATGATCATTCTTGACCAAAGAAATTACAGGTGCATGTACAGTAGGTAGGCATTCACTGCATTTAGGGGACACGTTCTTTTATTAGGGAAATTTGAACCGAGTTGTAGGGACATTTCTGAGTCCCCACAACATTTTCGGTCCCCACAAAAAAGGTGAAATGTCGAGTGTGTGTCGAGGGGCTACCCTTTCCAAGACACTGTTTCCGTGTCCAGACATACCGGTACATGGATATACTTGAAAAGTGCATGAAATATTGATCTGTGGTCGCATTGCTCAGACCTTGCATTGCTCAGTCAGGAGAGCTGCATGTATCAGTACATTGACCGGTATGTATGATTAATGATGTGAAGTTTGCTGTATGGTTGGGAGCTCAGCAAATAGAGAGCTGGTCTAGAATTCTTGGCGCCATTTTCATACCTCCTTAGGCTAGCCAGCTGCATAGGATTTGTATTTGATTGATTTTGCTCTGCAGAGAACATTTATTCATAGTCGTTAAAATTGGAAAAGATTGCTGTCTGATTTGCCATACATACATGTACGTACAAGTCCAGACAACATGACAGAGTGGCTATATTTACAGTGTAGTATCTGTACCTTTATTCTGTAGACTTTTGGTGAAATGATGGAAAATATTGTTTACGAAAACTTACTGAAAGGAATGGCTTGTGTTAATTTGCCTTGACGTGCCTGCGTGTTTAATGCTTAAGAATCAGTCAATGTACTTAAAGGCTTTACAGAACGGTATAAAGTGGAATTAAGGGTTTGGAGTACATTTACATGAACACACATGTATTAGGACATGTAGAATTTGCAAAACTGGAAAGACTATAACAATGGAAAAAAGTCTACTTAACAATGGAAAAAAGTCTACTTAACAATGGAAAAAAGTCTACTTAACAATGGAAAAAAGTCTACTTAACAATGGAAAAAAGTCTACTTAACAATGGAAAAAAGTCTACTTAACAATGGAAAAAAGTCTACTTAACAATGGAAAAAAGTCTACTTAACAATGGAAAAAAGTCTACTTTACAAGTGACAGACAAACTCATGCCATGTTATCGACAAGATGTCATCCGTCTTGCAAGCTTTGCAGCGCTGTGTGGTGTCACCCATACATGTACACGTACGTCTGTGTATCACTCAAACGATTGCACCAACTTCGTACATTAATCATCAGTTGATACATGTACTGTACTTTCAAGTTCCGTTAATCGTGGCAGGAATTAATAAATGTATTTGTAAATATAGGTGAAATCTGACTGATTGCACATGTAGTGTCATGGAAAGTGCAAAGTTTGGGGGCATGATACAGTTAACAAGACTGGACAATTTACAACTTGGACATTTTCTTCATATCTGAAGACCACATCATCTATGTGTGCACCTGTCCGTCTCGTCGAAAGGCATTTACATGAACCTGCACATACATGTACTTGTATATCAACAAAAGACGGAACAAACATTTCATTCTACTGAGAAGTGTTTTGGATACTTACACATGTACATGTGTGACTGATGTTACCTGTATAACACAAAAGATAGAAATTACTGTACCGATATATACATGTAGGGCCAGAGAGGTACATAGGTCTAATCAAATACGCATGCATCATGAAATCATATGGCATGATAGAGGAGACCGTCTGAAAGAATTATTAGTACCCAAAGCAAATTATTACCCCCAAAAGAGGAAAGAAATTATAAAGACACAGTGCTTTTCTGTGTACAGAAAGTAAGCTCCATTGAAGACCATTTTTATTTGTAAACTGCTGTAAACAAGCTGCAACAAGCACGATCATTATCCCTTCAAATGGAAGGTACATCATACATGTACCATGCAGTAGCATCATGTTCATGGGCTTGAACAGCTTTAATACATTAAAAGAAATTGAAGCAAAACACCGACCAGTAAACAGGGTTATACACTGTAAACAGAGGCTAAGCGAAATTGCAGGGCTTCGTTAAGCAGGACTGGTGAGAAAATGGAAGACAGATGGGGATAATTTGTGTGTACATCATAAACAGTCAATTAAATTAGACAGTGAAGCATCTACTTGACTAATGCTATCAAAAGCGGAAAGACATTCTCCACACGCAATTTCATGTGTGTACCAGGGATGAAAGATGGCCTATGAATGGAGTTGTCTTAACGCCATCGGAAATAACATTTCTGCAGTGACGGAAATTGACTGGCCCAGTGACTCCACATTGCTTTTAAAAAGTGTAGTTTGGCGTGACTTCTGAACCTCCAAGAAGTATATGTTTGTGCAGACGTTGAGGCTACCGAAGTATCGATTGCATTTGTGTTATTAGCATTAAAGGCAAACTGATTGAAATCATCACGTTCCATCATGTTCTTTGAACCGTTGTGGGTGCCTGTCGCCATTTTAATAATGGATGAGAGATGGGAAACAGATCAGTTTGATGTTTGCACATGGATGTTATTTAAATATTGTGTATATTTTGGGTCTGAGAACTTCATTTTCTTTTTCAGCAGTCAAATCGTGTTTATAATTCTTTGCATTGTTTTCTTGTTCTCCTTGGAAAACACACATGGAGTTGTCCCAGGAAAACTAAGAGTCTTTAATTGAGTTGAATCTATTCAGAAGCAGTTGACTTGCATGCGGTTTTTATTGTCAAAGGACATGGACCTGAATGTTAAGCTTTCCTCAGAATTGCCATGTGTGGAAGATGTACCAGGACATGTACATGTACATTAACTTTGTAATGATATTGATTTTGGAAAATTGGAAAATGTTGGAACACACAAGCTGAGAGAGAAAATTAACACCACTGCTTGTCGGATCCTGTTTACACATCATGATCAAGAGAAGTGTTGACCTACATTCAGCACCTGAGTGCCCTTTTTTCTCACTGCATTGTCAAGACTCACCAGTGGACAAGACACAAGGGCTTACGTGCATTTCCTGTTGTCATCAATTCCTCATTAATTGAGAAATGCCACACGTATCAGGCAGTTCAACTTGGCCTCCCTCGTAGCGTCTCATTCCGTAAAGTGTGACTGCTTCCGGTGAGAGGCAAGAATGAATTCAGCTGAGAATGGATTTTTTTCCTTTGAAAAAGGAGGAAGTGAATTGATCCCTGCTCACCTTGCTGAAATAGAGGAGGCTAACCGGATACGCACTGCACGAACTCCTTGAAAGTCTCCTTGTGTTTGACCGTCATTAGATTACAGCTGCAGTAAATTAAAGCCTCATGTGCAAGTGGACACTTGTACTATTAAGATACCGAATCCTGTTAGTTGGCAATACCGTGAACAAACTAATCCAAAAGACAAAAAAATGAAATTATTCTTGGACATTGTTTGGATTGTAAAATACCTTTACACATTAACATGTATCTTGGCAACTTGAAAAATTACTCACCTGAAGAATCAAGCAATGTTTTGAAGATGTAAAATAACGTTGTCTCACCGTGATGTCATGCGTATTGAACAGTTTGTTTCACTGATCACTGTCAAATGTATTGAAGATGGGTGATGAATTTAACTACAAATAAAATTATTGAAAATAATAGGGTGGCTTTTAAATCCTGACAGGCTACAATGTTCACTCTTTTTTTGTTCTCTTAAAATTAGAGCAGTGTACGTGTACATGTACATGTTCCTCTCTTAAATGCTGCATGAATATTTAGTACGTGCGATGTCGTATACATGTGCATGTATTGAGCAGTTTGTTTTGCTGATGCTATGTTGATCTTTGAACATGTCTTCCACATTCATGGTGACCTTGGTGCAGTAATTGTAATAGGTTTATACAGTTACAGTTGCAAGCTGGCTTACGGTACATGTACATATACATGTACGCTGCTTCTGCATACTGCACATATGTCATGTATGTGCGTGTAGAGAACATGCATTTATCTTTACGCACATCAGAAGTTCTTTTACGCATTATTTACTACATGGGATGTAAATTTTTCCTTGCATGAATTCACTATCACAGGTGTTTGCATGCCATGCTTGTTTTCAGGATTTTGTTTTGGTGTAGTTTTACATGTAGTTTCATAGAGTGCTTGCTTTGTTTTTTCTCATATACTCTATTTGCCTACTTGTACATGTACATTGCCTTATTATGAATGTTCATTGTAACACATCCCTGGTTTGAAGGTGTTTCCTCATAGTAGAAAACTGTTCTTCTCTTCAGGGCAAAACCTTGGATTCTGACCTGAAGCCAGCTCGTCGGCACTCTGGACCAGAAGTGGTTATTCTAGATCCAGAGGGTGAACCTCTCAGTAAAACTCCAGACTCCAATCGAAAGGTCCACTTTGGGGAGATGCCCACACCAGCCAAATCCAAGGACAATTCACTAGCATCATCTTCAGCAACGGGGCCGGCATTCCACATTCTCTCCCCGATCGAGGAGGTCCTGTCCTCCCCAGAGATAGTCGACAAATGTGCGGATGCCAATGGCGAAAGCTCAGAAGCGAGCAGTGCCTGTGCACTGAAAGACCGAGGGGGCATTGATAGACTGTCTCTTGGTGAGGAGGAGAAACGTGGGCGGGCAGATTCCTCCAGTACTATATCACCACATGACTGGGACTCGGGGATCCACATGCCCCTGTGTCTCTCTCAAGATGGTGGCTGGGAGGTCTCACAGAACATCTCAGGAACTGATTCGGCCGATGGGTCCCAAATTAGAGACACAGCAGCCAGGCTGGGGAATTCGTTACAGAATGTGAAATCCGATTCTGTGGATAGTTTTGCCAGCATGAGCCTGGCGAGTCTGGACGCTAATGACACCTTAGATAGCTTAGAGACCCACTACAACTCGGTCCAAAGTGACTTGAATGCCCTAGAAGTCACTGATGAGTTTGTGTCAAGCAGCAGCACGCTGGTGGAAAATCAAAGCACCAATGAGGACAATGATGATGGCATGAACTGTGTTGGGATTGAAATAGAGCAGCTAACACTCTCCCGCAGCTCCAGTGAGGAGACCCTGAAGACTGATGATGAGGATGACCTGGATGGCAAAGTAGGGGACCTGACCATGGAGGAGTTCTTGGATCAGCTGTCCCACCTCTCCCTGTCAGCCACCAGTGAGAGTACTGACGATCTCATCAAAGATGCAAAAGAGATGCGGGATGTGCCTGACGTGAGTACTCCTGGTACCATGGAAACGAGTCTGGCGTCCTCTGAGGATGGCAGACAAGATGAGATTGGCAGTCTCTACCAGAGGATGAAGATTGCTGAAGAGAGCCAACCATTACTTGCAGAGGAAGAGGAGGAAGACTTGGAACTGCCAAAAAATGATTCTGGGAATGCTCTGGAATTGGCAGCACAGCAGAGGCATGAGGAGTCTTCTAAGGGTGAGAATAAGAAACCAGCAGAGGGCGAGGAGAAGCATTTCAAGTGTACAAAAAGTCACCACCACCATTCCAGCAAATCGCATGTACATGATTCGGCAGCAAAGGGCAAAAGTCCATACAAGAGATCCAAATCAAATGATGATTTCATTCTGTCTGGGAGGGGAGGGGATGGAAGGAGCAAGTCCAATGGGAGTAAGAGCCATCGCAGGGATGGGGAACCTGCCTCAAGATGTACCAAAGAATCCCATCACCATGGCAAGCATCATGAGCGTTCACCATCCAATCGCTTTGTTCGATACGATTCCCTCCCACTAGTGGTGGAAGTCTTTGAAGCAGAAGGCAGCTACCACTGGCATCACCACAGCCATCGAGATTTCCGGCAGTTCTCGCGCGAGTCGGACAGTAATGATAGTGAGCCTTCCAACCAGGTAGTGTCAAAGACCAGCAGGTCAGGTGCTAAACTGGTCAGGGCAGCCCATCTCTCTCCGAAGTCATCCTATGAGGAGGATCCCAGCCAGTCAAGGCAACTGTCGATGGAGTCCAACACAACAGAAGACACAATGCCCAAGAGCACATCACAGTCTTCAGGCCCAACCACACCTGAGTCTAGGAGAGACAGCCAGCAGATGGTTGGTCTGTCCTCAGAGGAAAGCAGCAGAGAAGAGCAACGCTCACCTGACAAGCCACTCCACTTTTCTCCAACAGAGCCGAGCAATAGCTTACAGAGTAGACTTAGCCAGTGTCATCCTAAACCAACGTCCTTGGACTATCCCGGCAAGGAGAGGAACATCCAGGAAGCCATTGAATCGTTACAGTCTTCTCCTCCAGGAGAAGGTCCATGTGCCCTGACTGTTAAGAAAGATGAACAAACAGACTCAGTTGCATGTCCTCTAGGCAGAAGTGCTAGGGGCCAGACTGGCACACTTCCAGGCAGTGCGTCTTCCTCTGCACACCAGTCTCATAAGAGGATGCCCAAGCAGCTTGAATCGCCGCATCACTCACCCCTCACTTCCTCGCCGGAGCTTCCCTCTAAGGCGCCTCCACTGCAGGCCTCCCCTTGCACTCCACCTATACAGCTGTCTCCAGGAGCTTCCCCTTTGACCACCCCAAAGGGGGTGGCCTCCCTGAGAAAAGACATCCAAGAGCTTGCCAACCTGACAAAGAAGGTGTCTCTAACTCAGGAGGAGGTGTTGCACTCTGCTGAGGAGGTTCTGACATCGGCTCATAAGGTATGGTATAAAACGAATAGGCCAGAAAAGTTTTTCACTTTTCTAAACAAAAATTGCTTTACAAACTTTGAAGAATATGAAATATTGATTTGTATCCTCAGTTTTTGTGAAGGATGAAGCATTCATGAGGATAAATTGTTAGCTACATGTTCTGTATAGTACCGTGAAATGGTAGCCCCAAAACTCTCAAGAACTTCGCTGACACCCTGTGCCATGTTTGTTTCACATGGATCTAAACCAGGAACAGTGATCCGTCGTTGGTTTACAGACACTAAAATCTGCGTAATGGATGGTTCGAACCAACGTTAGGATCACTGATCGCAATCCAGATCCACGTGAAACAAACTAGGTGTATATTGTTTTCTACTGTCAGTTGCATGTCATGATTGCTTTTTGCCTCTGCCCTCTTTTAAGGGTGCTTGCTGATTGGCTCACCCCTCCATAAGAGTAGTCTTTAGTCTGAGATCTAATTTGAATGAGGTCCTGTTCTTGCTTTCTACAATTGTACACAGATGTCCAGCATTCAGAATCAAGTCCAGGAATTGGAAGAAGTGTTGGACAGCTTAGAGAGGACAGTCATTGGCGAGTCGTCATCACTGTACGGAAGCAGCAGCAGTGAGAATGAAGACTCTGTGGTAGGCCCTCAGGTACATTGTAGATCTTCTTACTTCCTGCAGGGTTTATTCAGGGTGGCCCAGCTGGAATGAGCCTGTTTGTACATGTACACATATTTAAAAAAGCAAGGCCAATCAAGGACAAAGTACATGTACAGGCACCTGAGTTCAGATCAGTTTGAACATATCTGTGCATACATGTATGAGTTGATGTACATGTACAGTACAACCACGCTGATTGTGCCAACTTCATGCCCACATATTGTTGGTTTCAGATGATTTTCATTTTGAGCAAGCGCTGTTGGCATACCAAATTTTCCCATCGTGGCAAGAACATGCATTGGTTCCATTAATGAACACCTGTAATGTGTAACTGGATTCATCCATTTGGGACTTTGGCAAATGTGGTTCATGTAAAAGCATTAGAAATAAAATGAAATTGAGTTTTTCTGTTTCCATAACAACAGGAGCAAGTGGTAGAAGATATGCAGATGTTGGAGGAACAGCTTGCCAGTTCACACAAAGAAAATGCTCCATCGGAAGTAAGTGATAATAGGAACTAGCCTGCATTCACTGCTTATGTAGTTTATTTTCATCGAAGATATGCCAGTTGCCAACCATTTTCATGCTCTTCCCCTGTAATGTGCAGTAAATGCAGTTTTTTGCACTGTCAATCTGCAGTTCTCCAAGTTTGATGTGCAGTCAACTATAGGGGATAAATCCCTGGCTAGGACTTGCATTGGAAGTGTGGTTAGAAATATCCTAAAAGTATATGAGAGCATGCTGAAATTTTATAATGCGAACATTAAATAGAGCATTAGTTTGATCCTTGCACTGGTACATGTACATGTAAATGAAGCCAACCTGTGCATACACTTGAATTGGCATTCTGGTCAGAATGCTGTCGGGAGATTAGTTTCTTCTAACTGCAACTGAACTTGATCTCACTGAGGATATCATGGCTACCAGAAATGATGATTTTAGAACAGTTCTAGAGCAACTTCCAAACAGTGTAGGTTTCTTTTAGTTATCTTCCTCCAGCATGGATATGCGAAAGCACAACTAACATGTCTCGCAACTATCTTGTCTCTGTCTGATGCCACAGACTAATTCTGCTACGGCTGTGCGCATGATCACCACAACAGCCCTGAAACTGTTAGGCACGACAGAAGATGCCATGGAATCACACAGTGCTAATCTTGCCCCTGCTACATCTCAAAGAGAGACTGACCAGCTCCCTGACTGTGAGGGATCAGAGAGAAAGGCCAGGGAGGGAGAAACTGCAAAAGAGATTGGTGGACAAGAAACGGGTACTCTACTTTCTCAAAGTTACAGTCGGAGAAGTTCTGGAGAAGAGGAGATGTGTGCATGCTCATCTTCTGATGGAAGCCGTCCAAGCTCCCTGAGTCTTGAAGATGCTGTGAAGAGGAAAGACAGTCACTCACAGAATGCTGGCGGGCAATCAGACAGGTGCCTTGAATCCCAAACCATGCCTCATCAGCAAGAGAAGTCCAGGAACCCACCTATCCACGGCATTCCCTTCCTGCACATTCATCCAGGTGACGGGCATGACTCGCCACCCATAGCAACGCTAATGTGTGAAATGGACGAGGACGTACGGAATGGAAATGACATCGGTGCCGCCGGTAACCTGTACCAGAACGGTGACAGCGACATGCTCGAGGTGGCCTGCAAAGCCGCGTCGCCATGCGGGCTGTCTGAAGATAGCTGTGACCTGACGTTTGGCATGGATGGAGACTTTGTCAAAGACAGAGCGGCTGAGAGGAGGAGGCGGAAGGAGAGGAAATTACGGAAGTCCAGCGGCTACAAGACATCACCAATGAGGGAGCAAGAGATCGATTTATTGTTGTACCATCAGATGGCAGACTTGGAAGAAAAGGTAAACGTGGCAGTGTGTGCCTGTGTGTTGTGGGCTCTGTGTTCATCAAATCCCACAAACCTGTTGCATGCTCATATACCGGGGTACGTGGACACACCCCTGAGTGGTCTTGAAACACAAAATGTACTATTACCAGAGTCTCCCAATGGACAGCCTTTTGCATTTTCATTGTTTAAGGATAACTTTGTGACTCCACTCACTCAAGTGTTGCGGTCTGTTTGTGCGATCTGTCATTCAGTATGCAATTTTTCATCAGTGTTGTTCCCTAATGTTTCAAATGCTTTGCTTATGTTTATTTGTTGTTTGCATGCTAAGCGTACAAGTACATGTAATTCTTTGTTTGTATTAAATGAGTCCACATGCATGTACATGTTCACAGTTATTTGCATTCATAGCTGGTACGTATTATTTTGTGCATTCCTTTGCCATTTTAGGCACTAGTTTACAAATGTAGTAATTTCAGAAATACGTCGGTGTTCACCACTCTGAAAATAACACTTTAGTAATATGTGTAATTGCATTACTTGTAAGTTTCCGAGTTAATTGAATTGACCCAGTTAATTTGCAATCAACACAAACCAAGACAAGACATGCAATGCAAATGTATGCATATCAGACAGGTGTATAATGGCATGTGCTCATGAATATGTACAGAAGTTACTTTGCATGATTTTCAGGACCTTGATATGTTTTTCTATCTCATGCGTAAATGCCAATAAATGATGCAGTACATGTAGTTTCCATGGCTGTGTTTGTGTGTGGATCTTCTTCACATTGTTCTGTGTATTCTGCACATTTTAGATGTCTTTTCTTTTGAAAAAATTGCTCGAAATTATTTGACAAGTTTGACAATAAAGTGTGATGCTTATTAAATAAGACGAACAATACCAGAAGAAGGAGCTGTGGGTACCCAATGGCCAGTAAGCTTTATTTGAAATCGTTTTGCAAGTATTGCTCTTTGATCGGTCGAGTGTTGCTCAACTGACCCTTTTCACCCATTCTGATTGGTGGCATCCTGTTGGACAGGTTTACCTGTCTGCTGGTAAGGTCTTTACCTTGGAGGAGCGCTTGCAACAGCTTCAGGATCGTGTCAGCCAAGTGGACAGAACGTCACCTGAGGAGAATATTGTCGACTTGGAGGATAAGATTGCCTTGACAATGGCTCAAGTTGCTCAGAGTGAGAACCAGGTATAACGGATGACATCTACATGTGTAACAAGTTGTATGTGACCAGTGGAGGATGAAATGTCCTTTTTCTACATGTACCGTAGTGGCATTAAGTGTTGCTTGTTCTCATACCGGTACAGGTGTCAGTGCTGTGTACAGCTTTTTACTTTGCTATGTGTACCTGTGTTTGTTTTTCTGAAGTACATGTATATGCTCTACTAAATCCCAACTGCGCATAGGGTGGCGATTTCTCAGGATTTTTCTGGATTTCAGAATTTGTGACTCCAAAATTTGGGATTTTTTGAGGTTTAACCAATCAGGTTCTGAGGCATTTTTGGATACATGTAATTTAGAGGGCAGGATTCATTCAATCAAAGCCTTTAAAGACACAACTCATGCCTTGTTGGCCAATTGATGGAGTCCTGAAAAGTCATAGCACTGGTGTTTTATTGTCATCATCCCGTAACTGGATGTTTCGTGGATTTGTCTTCATACCCCAATCTCACTCCTGGGCCCAATTTCATGGTGCTGCTAAACACGAGACGTTACACTGACAGAGGCCCTGTGTATTTCATGGAGACTGTGAGCAGTAAGCATGGGAAAAGGCATGCTTGGCGGGGGGAGGGGGAATTTGCTTCATGCAGTAACAAAAGAATGGGTAAACGGAAGCACAACCAGGCCAAGCACCGCCGTGAATTAGTTAGGCTAGAACATGTTTTCGCTCTAGTAGGCATGACTTGTCTTCTGTTGAGCAATTCTATGAAATCGGACTCTGATTCCAAGTGCTATGGTGCTTGTACATGAATACTTAGCCAAGTTTTGCGTTGTTATAGATGTCATTGATCTCTGTACTCCTCTGAACCACTGTATACTTCTGACTGCACTTTTGCTCCAGACATCTTGTAGTGACTCATCTTCCAAGAGATTGCCACAGTGATTAGGGCCAGACACATTGCAATAAATACTTTCCCCTACTCAATTGTAAAATGGGTTCCCTTGAGAGAAGATGGAAATGGTTCTTGTAAATGACTTTGGTCATTTGCATCAAAATAACAGCTTGTGTTGTACAAGTACATGTACATGTAGACTCTTGTGGGAGCATAAAGGAATTTTGCATGGACCTAATGAGCCAGTGAATAGCGGTGTAAATTGCTTTGAGCCCCTGTGCACAGACTGTAAGTATGACACAAGTACAAGACTTTTTTGGGAGGAGTACAAGGGTCCTACAAGAAGAAAGTGCAAGAGTTTTAGTCCATTTAAACTCTGTGAAATTACTGCTGAAGATGAGTTTGACAGTGGAACTGCACTGTAGCTAGTCTAAACCTGGGTGTCTTTGTTATTCAGTATTTGTTGGGGGGTTGCCATTGTCTTTGCAGCAACATGTCAGTGCTCATTACGTACGTGCGTGCTATGAGATAGCATTGAATTAACATCTTTTAATACATGTATGTGGAAAGAAAGTGGTGCTTTCAGTGTTGGTGTTGAGTGAAGGGCATCTCTTACCCTGGAAGTTGATGATGATGTAAACAAGATGTGTGTAAAAAGGTGGCAAAATGATGAGTACACTGTAGATAGGAACCAATGGAAATTTGGTGATATGTGTAAATTGATGATGGAATGAATTGCACATTGAGTGGAATGCTGGCATGAAACACAATTCATACATGATTGGACTTTGTTCTTTATTTTGTTAGTGATCTGATCACCCATTTTTCTTTGGCCTGACTGTTTTAGGTCAGGGCAGTTGAGGCCCAGATTGAAGCATTGCAGCGCTCCAGGGAAGCAGCAATTGATGGTCAATTCAACACAGTGTCTGTAGCAATGTGCGACCTCTCCAGTCCAGGTATGCAACAATGATAATAGCAAAGTGTTCATGAGATGCACAGTATCTCACAGTATTCGTAATCATCCCTGGATATTAGGCTCACAACATCTGAACATCACTGAAACCATCTCAGCTCTCTGGGGAGTATACTGGCCCGATGATACCATATCAGAACGGCTAAACACAATAACCATACCTTCCCTTACAGGTACCCATTTACTCCTGGGTGGAGAGAGGCATATAGGGTAAAGTGACTTGCCCAAGATCACAGCATGTTGCCAGGAGCTGGATTCGAACCCCTAACCCCATGATCAGAAGCCGCAAATCCTGACCACTAGACCACATGCCCCCAATACATGCCCCCATCTACTACTTTGGCTAAGATAGAGAATAAACTTTCATCTTCATTTGCTTTCGAAATTATTTGCCTTTCTTGAGAGATTTTCTGCATGTAATAGTACAGTAATTCAGTGGAAATTTGATAATACCCTTTTGTGTACACATTTTTTTTCATGTTAATGCAGACTACGACATGGTGTACTACATGCACACATCCACTGGGTGCAGTTCTTTGACTGCTAATATTCATTCTCATCAGTGGATTGTCCCTGAAAAGAAGTTTCCAAAATTATGGAATGCCCAATAATCTGGAATGAGAAGGGTGGTACATATGAGGAGTGACTTCCTGTGTTTCATCTTTTTCTGTGTCCAACTTACCTTAAGAATGCTCATTGGGCTGAGGTTGCTCATTGTGAAATTCACAAATCAATGTGAAGTAATTGTGAGTTAAATTGTGAAGTCTGGTCACAAGACTTTACTTGAGATGGTTGACCTTTGACTGATTGATGATTTGTTTGGGAAGACTTGCCTGGAAGGATTGTTACGTAAAAAATTACTTGAGATGCATGCTTTTGCTCTCATACATTCCTCTGCTTGAGTTATGTGTAATTCCAAAATAACTACATTCATATTTCTTCCCTATGCATTTTGTTTTGTAACTTTTTTATTTGGAGCATTTGCTGACTTGAGCTTCAATTTCTTCGCACAGAGATGGTAAGCCCATATGCCTTCCGCTATGGGTCTTCTGTGCAAATACAGATTCCTCGCGAGCGGGTCGACACCCCGGTCGACTTTGTCATGGAGGTGCCTCTGTCCGCCCATGAGTACAATAACAACAAAGAGTGGTCGTCGGAGGTCGTTAGCAAGGAGGTGGAGCTGGAGATGGGGGTCACGAGAGAGGAGGGGGGCCAGGAGATGACGGCAGTGAACGGCGGCCAGACAGCTCCCTTTGGCGTGGACCGCTGCGCCGTCTCAATGGAACTGCGGCCCATCCAGGCCGTCATTGTCCGCTACCTGCAGGAAGGCGATGACGCCAGCCTGTGGCCTGACTTCCGTTTCCATCGTAATAAACCGCGATTGCATGCCCGAGGTGGTGACATGGGTGGAATGTGCGGGGAGGGGGGGAAGAGGTTTATGCACTTGGCACGCCATTGCAAGGCACCTCCATCAGACTGTAGCTGCAAAAGATTGTAGCAACCACATCATCCCGTCCACAGAGTAGATGCTCTTGAAAAGAGGTTTCAAATCATCCCTTTTTTTCCATAAGTTGTTTAACTTGAATTTACTAACAGGATCGCACACAGACTCTGCTCATGTTACAGCTTACATGTAGAAGCCGTGTGTGTATGCATCTCATTTGCACGTCGATTAACATTTCTCGTTTTGTCCCACAGATATCCATGTACTGATCTACTTCATGCGTAGTGTACCATGGAAATAAAGACACTAAGAAATCTGTTCCTTTTGAACACCGTTCTTTTTATTTCAAAGCTCACCAATAAATCCATATGTTCTGTGTAACAATATGGAAGGTGTAGTGGTGGTCATATTTAAGGCCACGTCTGAATCAAATGGCTGTGACTTGATCAGGATTTTCTGTGAGTTCCAGGTGTCTTTAATTCTGTGGTTGGTTTGTAGCATTCATTCTATTAGTTGCACTTTTAATATGTACATGTGTATGATTCTTCTATCAATGAGTGATTTTTGACGTTTGTGAACAGATGGGACTTTGTGTGGCTGAATACCATCATGTGCAGACAGTGCATCATCCATCATAAGGAGACTTTGCTGTGTTTGTAATCAAACCAACATTTTCCTACAGTTGCCATGGTCTCCACTTATTATTTCAATAGGAATTTCCCTCATTTTCACTTATAATCCATCACTGACTTCTCCACAGAAACTTTATTATTAATTTTTCTAGTTCATACATGTAAACTTTTTATGAGCATATCCGTGCATTATGATTTGGTTTCAGCTGGGTGATATAATTTTTTCCTCATGAAGGAGAAGCAAAAATCAGTTCAAACTTTTTGTCAGTTATTAATTTCTCTGTCACCATGAGCAATCGTATTTGGATCATGTTTTCATTGTGAATCGTACCATACCGTATTGTGTCATGAATGCATCTGCTGGTTTTATTGCATAACATTTCAAGACTGGATCAAGATACTGCTCAGTTTGTGGCTGAATGCTGTCCTAGCTTTTATTACTCAACTCTTGTTTCACTCAGAAAGAGAGAAAAATCTTCACTTGAAAATTTGGTGATGACATTTCATGTTTTAACTTTGTCAGAGAGCCCCAGAGAGATAGATAGAGCAGGTTTTCTTTGTCGGTTAATGTTAATGGAAGTCTCTACAGTGTCTTCAGGGTGATAGACATCATCACACATGTCTATTTTCCCTAGTTTATGCTCCCGAGTGACTGAGCTGATGCCCGTTATTCAATTAGCCTTGCCTCCCTCCTGCCTTGTTCGAGCAGCATCTCCGAGAGTCCACTAGAAGTCACCGCAGCAAATGAACTGCCTCGGTGATAATCAGCATGAGCGAGCACACTTTCTGTCCACAGCCAATTGGCAGTGGGGGTATCATCTTGTTAGACTAATCCCATTTGGTACAGTCGGTGGCAATTAATATTCAGTTGGGGTACTCCGGCATGACATGAGTGACATGCAGCATTGGGCATGGGAGAGTGCTCCATATTAATGCAGTAACTCATTTAGGGTAGAAAATCCTGTCACAGTAACATCATCTGCACTTATAGTCCATAAAATGTAATAGGCTTCTCATTTCAAAGAAATGTTAACATTATTTTGCATAAAATATGCTCATCCTGAGAACTGAGGCAATGGTACACTGTAGTTGTATCTTGATCTGGTGAATTTCCAGCCGTACATGTTCAATTCTTAGTCCTCGAAGGTGGATGCCTTTGCTAAAAAAAAAAAAGAAAAGAGAACTAAGTCACCATTCGTGCAGTTAACTACATGCAGTTGGCAAGAGTTTTGTGAGACTACATTTACATAAATCAGTTAACACCACATGAGACTTAGCGTTCAATTTTCCTCTCTACAGAATCCACAGAAATCATATTGCACAGACAGGTTCTGCTTTTGCTTGCTTATAATGAAACAAAAACATGGGTTTGTCACTGTCAAATGTTCTGCTTTCTTGGCAGAGAAAAGACCCAAGCTGGATGCAGATGTCTCCCACAGTCACCATGGCAGTGAGCCCGAAAAGGTAAGCCGATGAGAGGGGGCAGTTAGAGGACCTGTTCCCAAATTCTTTTTTTATGAATCTGTTCATTTGAAGCTCGTAAGAGTGATCATATCCCACAAATTGATCCATGAGGTAAATTTCAGCAATTTGTTTCTCTGGAGTTCACATTACAATGAGCCAACTGAGCTTGTTGCTTTTAATGTGTAAATTAGTTTGGCATTTTGATGAAAATAGACATTTTTTGAGTGAAAGAAAAATTAGGCTTCCTCTTTATTTACTCTGTGCAACATTACTTTAAAGGCATTTAACTCAAAAGTGGCTCTGGTGACTCCTATATCTTTTTGTAGATGGATCACTTATAAGTTCATCACAGCTACATGTATGCTCTCTTAGCCTGTCTTGCTCTTCAATCAAACCTAATGAGGCTGATCCTTTTCTGCTGCTTTCTTTTCTCTGCTATGTGTACCTCAGGGGACCGAACGCCACATATCCACCCTCAAGCTTGCCTTGGGTTACCCTGACCATAGAGCTACAAACCCATGCCCTGACAAACCTGCAGTCTCCACTCTTGGTAAGGCTTACATTTGGAACTTGATCCCCAGCTGTGCAAGGCAACCTACCTACTGGGAATGGTGTTTACCAAGGTTAAAATTATGCTGCATGCACTCCTGTAGTCTTGTGTTGTTTGGGGGAATAAGCCCTAATGTCCTAACCAAGGCTTGTTCTGATCCAGTCATGAATTCAAGTCTTTGATATCTACTCCTTACTGAGTTTTAGAAGTTTGAACAGATAAAAAAATATTAGGGTTTAATTTAGTCCTAATGTACATTTCTGAAGTGAGTGAAAAAGACCCATGGAACTGTAGCCAGCCAGAATATTTCCAACTATTTGGATCTTTAGCAGACTAAACGTCCTCACAGGGTTCGGTTGTGATTGTAACAAAGGTTCCTGTTTAATCATCATAACTGTTGTCATTGTTTTTTCTTGCGTGTTGGCCTTTCATCACTGTCATTTTATAAGCACTTCATACTTTGTGCTGTCCAATAGAGTTTGTGGGGAAAAAAGCCCAAAGCTGGTACATTGTCAAAATGTTTGCTTGCGTGTGCCTTTGTTGAGTCCATGCTTATCTCCTCTTTTTCTTTTTCTTCATTTTTTTTTTTTCAGATGAAAAACCAAAAGGGAGTGTGTCTGTTCGAGTCAATGAAATTGAACAGCTTCTGCAGCTGTAGTGCATCTATGTCAGTCAACGGAAGTACCCTTCATGGAAGCGCTTTCTAGAAATCCGCCTGTAGAAGTTGGACTAGTCATTTGAACGACAACAAATGGGCATCGCACGCAGTCAGTGTAGTGTACAGTAATGGAGCACATACAGAAATCAATTTCAGAGATAACTTGCATTGCCAGGATCATCACGAAGGCATTGGTGTCCGCTGTGTGTGACACCACTGTGCCGAACAACAGTAATAGTTTAGGAATGTACAGTTAGGCATAGAAGCAGTTTCTAAGTTGGGCACAGAAGGCGGGAGTGTTAATTAAATCAGTTTGGAGCACAGAATCTAGGTATCCGTCAAGAGTTGTTTCCCTGGTTTACAAGTGAGGAATTGATTCAGTGTTTATATGCAACGGCCTCAAGCTCGGCAAGAAGTTAGTCAGGAAATGGTGTGAATTCCATCACACCTGTTGACCGCATGCAACTTTACACAGGAGAAAAGTTAATGCATTTTGAAAAAAAAAATCTGATTTTGTTGGTGTTCTGGAAATGTTGGTGGTGTTTACATTCAGGATTTACTGTCTCAGGTTTGAGAGATTCACAGTGATGCAGAGCCATTACAAGTGTAATTACACATGTACCGTCTACCGTAAAAGCTTTTTAAAGAGATTGATTTGATAGCTTTGGACTGCTTAGATTGCATTGCCTGTTAGAGTTAGCATTCTAGAGAACTGCTCTGTGGAATTCAATAGACCGAGTGTGATGTTTACTTTGGAAACCTCTGCTCGTACATGTATTTTCATGACAGTCACTGTAAAGAATAGAACAATGCATTGATTGGTGAAAACGTTGGTTCATAATTCACATGCACTGTGAGCCTGTGATCTGCAGTCCAGATGTCATTGCAAAACATAGCTGGTCCTTGTTGCCATCTGTAGAGTATCACACTAAAGCATGTTAGCAATACAGCCAACCTTGTGGGATGGTGTTCAGTTGAATAGCAGAGCTTTGGTCCTGTCCTTATTTTGCAATCAAGTCCCCATGCAGCGGAAGCCAGAGTATCAGGTAGCCATAGCCATCAAGCCAATTACCAAGGCTGCATTGACATGGAATTTTGACATGTACATGTGGTAATATGAGTAGTCACACCCACAACCTGTCCAAGATACATGTATCTACCAGTATGGTACTGGACTCAAATATTTGCCAAAAGACGTGTCAGAGTCCATGTTCCTTGGCAGGTGTTCAGCATGACCTTCTTTCCAAGTACGTAGACTCACATTCCTACCTGTTATTGAAAGAAATACTAGGCCGATGTATATTGTCTTCATCTAAGTTGCCAGGATACCACCTTTTATTTGAGCATACTTGAAGAACTCTGAAAAGGATGGGACCTCAGCAAGCTTAGTCAGTCGACCATTGTTTGTTTGATGAAAGTTTTGTCCAACTTTTCATCCAAAGTTCTGAGTAGAACTTGTTTGTTGGTCAGATCATATTTTTTGTAATCAACTTGAAAGTCGCCTATTTTAGAAACTATATATTGTTACCTATTACCATGATACAACTCCTAAACACATTCCAGCAATGCAAACTCTACTATATTGTTCAGAAATAAAAATTTCAATGCCATCACATATACCTGTACAGTAAATGCATATGTAAAATACTAAGTAACAAAAAACTGGTTCTAAGTCTTTCATGCATGAATTTAGTGAACTACGTGATTGCATGAGACGTGTTAGTTGCATCGGTGTATCACTCTTTATATTGATGTGTACCTTTGCAATACTTTTAAAAAAAAAGAACATATTAGCAATTTTCCTATCCCAAATACTAATTTGATAGATTAATATTTCCTCATAGAAGCACATTCCCACCAGTCTTCATTTTATGTATTTATCTAAAACTATATTTTGTTTAGCTTTATTTTGCACTTTTAGTTATGCAGATATATGCTACTCGTTTATGCAAGTTTATTTTTTGTTTCCAGTAGTATGCAGGAATGCAAATTTCCTTATTTGTGTTTACCCAATTTCTGTGGTCAGTGTTTTTAGTGTTTCTGCATAATGATAAAGTCAGTCGCAAATTACCAGTACAAATTAAGCAGGCATTTTGTAAGTGGTGTCTGAGTCTGTTATTTTTTGAAACAAGAAATTGGACATTTTTAAATCTAACTTGTACTATTTACTCATGTAGCTTGATATCATTACTTGTGTGTTTCCCAAAGTAATTTGCTTAATCTCCTTGATGTTTGATATCAACTTAAATGTGGAGTAAGATTTTACAAGAAATGTTTACTTCTCGAGTGAGATCAACTGTTTGCCAGTAAAGTTCAGCAACAAAAGGGAATTGGTATGTGACTTTTTCGTCCATGTATTCAGTGATAACTGAATTGTGATCCTTGAAAAAGATATCTTTTATACTAAGTATCAACACTCCCATAAATGGTGGAGTAGCTTTAGATTTTCCGTTGGAGGGATTTATTTTAATGTTGGTGTTTGTGACCTATTACATAAGAATTAAAAAAAAATAGCAAAAATCTACTCCTTGCCATTCTATTAATGATCTTACTATTCTGAAACCTTTCAGTGATTACATATAACTGTTTTTATTACATACGTGTAACCAGTTACTGTATTAAAGCTCTTACAGTTATATCAGTGCTAGAAGTTATATTTAGATTCATATACATTTCAGTATAAAATAGATGTAAACATACGTAGTATTTAAGTAAAGTTATGTACTAGAAGATATTAGCATTGGACCAGGTTCTTGAATAACAGTCCATGCTACAAAGCTGGCATGGGTAAAAATGGGCTTTCTTGATGCAGTACGTACCAAGTTATGGAGAAGACGTAACATTTTTTCTTTACCTCATGATGGAACCCAAAACTATTTTAGGTGATACATCAGGTGTTTGCCTTGTTTTATCTTGAATTGGTAGGATTTCTTTAGTTTTTAGAATTTTTTTTCTTAATGTTCAGGATGTACCCACTTCAGAAAACGTTTGACAGCCATAGAATTAGATTCTCTTAGTATGAAGTTGTCCAGTGGCATTGTGGTGGAATGTTCGTCCAAGTCCCAATCATATTGGATCGACCTAAGCCTGAGTACTTTCAGTGTTGACCAAATATTTTGTACGAGTATATTGCGTACGAGTTCTTTTATACAGATTGACAAAATCACCAGATAATGTCCCATTCCTTCAGCAAACGTTTGAATTATGCCTGTACATTTTATGCCTACCGCATACCTGTTTGTCCAGATATTTAACTTTCTGGCCTGTGTACAAATGCCTGAGTGCTCAGGCCACACTGCCTCATTTCTGAGTCTCCATTTTTTTGCTGTACCCCCAATTAATGTACTGGTAGGTCAGACTTGGCAAAGGAATCCATGTCATTTATTAACCGTGGCAAATGGGCTTTCAGTGGTTCGATTTTTGTTTCTGTATTTTGTTCTTTGAATGCAAAATCCTAGATAGAAACCAAAGCTTACATTTTGCCCTATGTGAAGAATGTGTTGTTTTGAGGAAGATTTTATTGATATGTTTGAATCATCTTGAAATAAATTTTAATCAGTGTTTTGAGTTTGTTTACATTGATTTATGTAACTGACTGGTAACATAACTTTTTTTATTCTCTTCTTAGGAGTAAAAATAGACCTTTCTTTCTCTGTAAAGTAATTTGATTTTGTTCTGATCGGATTTGTGCAAGAATTGTTTAATGGGGTTATTTATGTGCTTTGATTATGCAGTGTTCCGCAAATCATTGACATGATTGTTAAATCATTTGACCAAGTCAAGCAGTTGGTTCTTTTGAATTACTGATTTGGTAATATGATCAACTGATCAATGATTGATCATTATGCAAATTTGAGCTGTTCAGTTGTCATCATAAATCTTAGATCTTACTTGATCAAATTCCTTAAATCAAACCAAATATATTGATTGAAATTCTATGTAACCCTGCAACCTACAGTCTTTGTATTCATATTGGTTATTTTTAGTTGCATGGGCCCTCGCATGCACTCAGAGGCAGCTGTTCATTTTATGTCGTTCAGTGTTAAATGAAGTTTTATTCCTTCAAAGTTTGAAACACTTGGGCCAAGGTTATTTGTTTCTTAGCACGCACTTGTAATTTGCCATTTCATTTCATTGTATCAGGACTTATTCTAGAAGAAAAAAACAGCTAATGGGTAATATTTTCAAGAGAGAAAGGTGTGCGATGTTTAAATATGGCAGGGTTTGGGTGATAATGCAATAGAAAGTCAGTATGATTCCAAATCAAATCATTAAAAGTAGTTCCATTTCTGGTCATGGCAAGTCATTCATATTGGCATATTGAAAACCCTTCAACTTCAGTTCGTCAGAATTTGCGGGGGTTGACATTAATGGGGGCTACATTAATGGCCATCAGATGAAGACACAAAATGCATTACTGTTTGTGTTACTTGAGAAAAATCTCTGTTGTTACTTATGACTGGAAAAAAATACTTCAATTTATGTACGAGAATAATTTGAAATTTGACTGAAGCAATCACTTAGGAGAAAATTACGGGCCACATTGTTTCTCATTCAGTGTAGATCCCGGTTAATGTTGTAGTCAATCAGGCATTAGATGCAAGTACAAGAGGCTTTCATTCGTGGGATTTCTCAAACTCATTTTTATGTTGAACAAAGGTACCCCAAAAATAAATTGAAGATGGGTAGAGATTAGTTGGAGAACAAACTGGAGGTCAACAGTTGGAGGGAAAGAGTTGAATCAAAATATGCCATTCTGCATTCGCACAAACTTTGAAATCGAATGCAAAATGCAATAAGAAAAAATTGGATGAAATTGAATAAATAAAGAAAAGAAAATAATCAGACCAGTCTTAGTATGTGTTGCTTATATACGGTGGTTAACATGTTCTGTGTCCAAATCAAGTAGAACTGAATCAAATTTAAGAAAAACAAATCACAGAGTCTGTCAAATAACGCATTCTGGAATGAATGACATTTATTGTGCACCATTTTCACAAAAATAAACGCTAAATACCTGATATACAAATACATGTATGCTTGGCCTTTCTTGTACACTGAACACAAATCTAGGTTTCACACAAGACTGCAAAATGTCACAATACTGGTGGTCAACTGCATGCTAAAGTTCAAGGGAGCAATGTATATATTAGAAAAAAAATAGGATACATTTCTAAAATGTTAGGACGAAGTTTCCAACACATGGAAGGGAAATATACCATACAAATTCACATGGCAATTTAGCTGTCTACACCCTGGCCTTAAAAATTCATTATAATTCGAAATAATGCTGATTTTGAACAAGGTGCCCCTCATCCCACTTTTTGTAGATCTCAGGAACCAATGCATTTATCATTCCAAAACTTTCCAGGCACAGTAATAGTTTGGTCTTTGAAAATAATCACAAGGGTGTTAAGAAATTCCTGGTCTAGGGTTGGAGTGAGCTTCATGAACAATTTTGCATCCATTGTTAATCTATTGTGTTGAAGAAAAAATATACCACAGAAAAACAAAATATGGTCACATTGTGCTCACATAAGGATATTTTTTATCTACATGGTGAGCTGCTGGGTGGTATACCGGTACATTAACTCTGAAGTAGTGATAAAACGGTCACTTTTCTAGAAGAATGCTTTATAAATGAAATCTTGCAACAAACCACCACATACTTCAAGGGTTTTTTCTTGAGACACCATATCAATAATAAATGTGAACGCCGTGATAATAATTTCATAGGGTGACAGAATGAGTATTGTGTTCCACAGGGTGAAGTCAAACGGAATAGTATACTCAAATCTGTCACTGAATGGAATTTACTCTTTCCAACTACGTGAATGAGAAACATTCATTGTTTGGTTTTGTACAATGCCCGAATAAAATCATTTGTAAACTTTGGTGTACAAGTCCTAGTTTTTATACTCTGTCAGTCCAAAGTAAAAGTGTAAGAGTTTTCACATTCCGCCTTCATATACAAGTGTATGCTTAAACAGATGATCCGTGTGTCTTACAAGTTGCTTGAATCCTTTGATAACCTGTTTAGTTTCCATTACAGAAGTACAACCATTACTTCCGAGTTTGGAAAAATATCTTACAGAAGACAGAATGTTGCAGGTGTTTCACATTTATCGGGACTGGCAAAATTTGTGTGCAATTTTGTGAACAGCCGTTAGCGTGCCTTCCACGTGCGTGCAGTGAACTGGTGGGTTTTTATGGACATACCCAGTGGTCATGCTGTTGATCATATCAAATCATTTATGTCACATGATGTAAAATGCACCAATGGGATGACAAGGATTTATTCAGGTGTTGTATTATATCTGACAGTGCATCACAGAGGAGTATATCGTGTGGTTAGGGCCACTCCGTCTTAAGTACACTCGGTGAGAATATTGCAATACACAGCAATTCCTACGCTCAGGCACAACTGTGTAGGGCTGTTTGTGTGCCCTTACATGTAACTTATCCCCAATGCCATTTATCATGGGATGCCCAATCTTTTTGGGAAAATACACAAGAAAAGAAGAGGCAGACAGACAATGCACAAATGTGAAATTTCCGGTACAATTCACAATTGGCAGTTTGGGGAGATTTCTGAAATCCCCTTCAACTGATCAACGTCTGCAGGTAGGGCAATGATAATGATGCCCTACCTGCAGACTCTGATCAACCGAACACCACTAAACAGTGAGTTCCTGCAGACAGTCCGGTATCTGTCTGATCATGCCAATGTGCAAAGCCTTAGTAGAGCTATCACACAGCACCCCAAAACAGCTCATGAGGCTCAAGCATGCCTCCCCCTGGTTGTGCCACAGAGGACTGGGATGTATGGCTGTATCAGAGCCTTTAGTTTAAGATGTAGCTGTTTACCATGTTTACTGTATCTCCTTGTTTTAAAAACTGAAAAAAAAATTGGAAATCTCCTTGGTGGGAGGCCCAAGCTCCCTCAAGGGTGCACCGCTGAAGTTCCGAGGAATCCTCGGGAAAAACTGCAGAAGCTACCACGGACTGCTTAGCAGACTATGCACGTGGGTCCCGCTTTCATATATTTCCGCCTCAGCTTGGCTGGTCTTGCTCTGCTGTGATCCTGATCCTCCTGTTGTGTTGAAAAGTCTAACAGAATGATGCTGAATTTTTTCCCCCAACCAAGGAAATGTTTTTGATACCCCCTGGGCTGGCAATGCAAAACTTAACCTGGCAATGTTTTCATGCGACTGGAAAGAACACCAGCTTTCCGCTATTGAGTGGCTTCATTTCTGTTATTTCTGGCCAAATAAATTGGATGGGGGCCTTACACTCCATCGCAATTTTCTTTACACACTCCTCCTTCCACATGTGTGTGTACACAGCACATTACTTGAAAACATTTCCGAGCATCTTAAGAAATGTAAACTTTGCTTTTGTCCACATCCAACTGGGCTATGGTTGCGCACTCAATGTGCCACTCGAATTTAGGACTTAGAAGAGCCAAAATGATGCAGCAGGATATTCACTTTTAGGCCATGCTTTTGTGTAACACGGCTGGATGTCCAAACGTCTTATGAACACTACTTTTGTATTGGACGGAACATCCCAATTTCTTGATTACCTACACCAAAAGGCATGACCACTCTTGTGTTGATTTTGGGATCTTTTGTTCGCTTCGTTCATCCAGTTAACATATCTACCTGACAACATTCAAGGAATCTCATGGAAAATAGTTTATATAATTGTACATGATGCCACGGACGATAGTTTCAAGGCCTTTCCATCTACATAAGAGTATCGTATCTACAATAGGCCTTTTCACACGAGTGCCGATAACAGAGATCCTATGCATTGAAATCACATTGATGTTACAATTACAGTGATATCGTGTCTTGTGAAGGTCTACCTACAAATGCATGACGGGAAAATCACAGGTACAGCATGATTCTAACATTAAAAACATAGCAAAGTGCCAGCGATGCAATTTGACCACAATTGCAAATTGTGGCAAAATGAGGAACGTCAGTTACGCGATAAACAATGCACCGTCTGAAAGCCCGCGAAGAAATCTCACAAGTTGTAAGATATAGACAGTGTGGCGCTGACTGTCACAGATGTGCAGTTTCGGCACTCGTTTGAAAAGGCCTAATGTTATTTGTTAGGCTAGTCCACGAGGGATTATAGTTTTGCAGGGAAATGTCAAGATTTTTTCAGGCAAATCCATTTGACTGATATGAGGAATTGAGAAATTTCTTAAGTTTTGTGAAAACTGAACTGCAATGACAACATTTGAAATTCAACTGCTATTTCCCAACAAGAAAAACAAAAAAAGTGTTGTATGACAGCCAAATGATTGGTTGCGTAAGTACCTACCTCAAGATCTGCATCTTCTATGTCCTCAAGTTCTCCAGATGATTTCGTTCCAGATGTCTGTAATAGACAAGGAAACAGACATGTCAGGGTATGTTTTCAAAAATGCTCCCAACAAGCTCATTATTAACCATCCTGTAAGTAACCTTCTTCAAAATATCAATCTGCAATGTAAACCTTGCTCTGAGTTCTGAAACAAACACAGGTGTGGGATGACACGCAACTTGAAATTGTTAGGAGGAGAAAAGTGCAAGCCACAATTTTGCACAGGATTTTATGTTTATTTTTTCTTTCACTGTTGAATGAAAATCAGCTGATGTGAGGAAAGCATTGTTTTCAAATTTGCTTTTCTTAAATTGCATAATGTACAAAAAACTGCCATAACATTAATTTAAAAGCAACAAGGACATCATTTGAACTGACGAACCTTTCCTGCCTGCTGTGCTTCATGTGAGTTTTCATTGTGTGAGTTTGCCTCCTGTTGGAACGAAATAAATTCAAACCTTCAATAAAATACATCAGTCTCATTGTAGGACGAACACAGAATACAAATGACCTCGACTCCAACAATAATGTTAAAGCTACCAATGATGCTAGCAACCAGTACTTACTGGACTGGATTTCTGCCGTGTCATCTCCTGATCTATTAGTCTGACTAGATCATCATGGTTCAGCCGCTCTGCATAGCTTCTTGCGGTGTCTTCTGTTGTCTGGTCTGGCAACTGTACAAGCAATGGTAAGTTAACCCTATCAGCCTCAAAACACTATTAGATTGTTTTTTCCAGATGTTGAGTACACATGTGCAATACATGAGGCAAAAATAGTTGGAACACAATAGTAAAAAATCATTTTGATGAAGGTATTCATGTGTTTTTTTTTCTAATTTTGTGAACAGCTGCATCCACATTTCATATCGTAATCAACCTCAGTCTATTTTGAAAGATCTGAATAATTCACGTTCACTTACAGTGACAGTGAAATGCAGGTCTATACCTCCCAGAATCAGTGTGTTAGCTGTGTCTACATGTCCCTTCTCAAGGGCTAGAAAGAGCAGGTTTATTTGAAGGGAATCACTGTCTTCCTGCAAGGAAGAAAATAAATGGAAAAAAAATCAGGCAGTGAATGACAAAATGGGGCTTTGGATTAAAGAGAGCATTCCACACCATAGATGTGACCAGCGTACTACAGTTTATGCCTGGTTTTATGCCTGGGCAGAGCATTGGCATAATGCAGCAATCAAACAACTGAGTTAAAGATGGCCGACAATGACATTACATGTTAAAAGCGATCTTCTTGGTGTGCAAAGAAAAGCAACACATGACTGTAGATAAACAGCATGAATGGACCTACACTGTATCTTAGAGTTCAAGATCTGCCTCAGTATGAATGACAGAAATCACTTGTATGTTACAGTGAAGCACACGGTGGAAAGCATATCTGGCTTGGTTTGTTCAGCTTGTCTGTACTCAAAGCCTGTCGAATCAAGCACGTCTGTTTGGCATAATGATCTGTACGTGCAATGGGCACCCACTGTATATCCAACTTAGTGTACCACAGCCGCAACCCACCCAACAATCGCAGCGTTCATTGTATGTTGGTTGCTGATAAAAGGAAGGGGGTGTTCATGAGAAGTAGATTACACCTGTACCTGGTCCATGCTAACGGCCAACCTGTGCATACCTTGTGAAGTAGGTTGATATTGGCACCATTCCTGATTGCTTCCTGGACACTGTTTGAGTTGCCATCCTGAACTGCTGCCAGTAACCTCTGAAAGATCCAATCAAACCAATTACATATCCGTCACATGTACATTTAAAGGAAAAGGAGTCGCTCTTTTTGTGATAATCATCCATGTGTATGACCCATAAATTATCTACCAGATACCAGTAACTGGATTCTCTACAAATCCTCTTCTTCACTGTTACTTTTCAAACTTGAACGTGATCCAAACTATAAAGCTTTGGAAGTTACAGACGATGAAAATTTGAGATTAAGCACTGTTTGTAAGTACATTGCTATCATTTTGCTAGCTAGTAAGTCTTCAGCTTGACGTTGGGATGGTGGGTGACATTGAATGTTATTGAATCCTTTTATGGTGTAGCATGTTGTTCACAGTATGGAGTAGACTCTTTTTATCTTGCTATTTTTCCAGCAGTATTTGCGCGCATACCAACTGAAGCCTGTTGCAATGTTGGATATGCCCGGCTTTCCTTAAGTCAACCACAATTTAGAACATCTCTACAAAAGTTTGATAAATCGTATTTTGGAAGTTTAAGCTTGATAAATTGTATTTCTGAAAGCTTTTGGAAGGAAAATGGGGGAACAGACTGGAGTTACAGAGTCTAATCTCATAATATTGCTAAGTACATGATTTTACGCAAACAGAGACTCCATATATTTCATAAGACCACATAAGCAGTAATCAAAAGACACATATGTACTTACTGGTACCTTGGAGGAAAGTTTGCTTAATTTTTTGGTAGTGACAAAACAAAGGAAGTCTCTCAAGGGCATGCAACCTTAAGCAAAGCCACATCGAGCAACGCCATGACATACCGGTAATGCTAACTGTCAGCTCAATTTTATGCCATAGCGAGCAGACTTTTCTGCTCTCTTTATGTAGCTCCATGAAATTGGCCCCAGAAGCCAACAGCTCCGCTAATAGATTGGATACATACCTGATTGGCTTGCATCTTTTTCTCTATCACTGCAACCAATGATTTCAGTTCTTTCTCTTTAGCAATATCCAGGGCTGTCCGCTCTTGCTTATTCACCTATGGAGTATTGAAGAGACAAGCAATCATATCTTCACTTCTTTGGCAACATACAATGTACCGGTAGTGAGTAACACATAACTGGCTTGATTTGCTTGACCTTGTATATGTACAGAGGAGGTAATGGGAACCAAATACAAAAACTGAACTATCTAAATTATTTCAGTTCATGTATCTGGCGGAGCAAACTTGTGTGCTCGGTTTCTACTTGGGGGGGTGCACTACCTGTATGCCCATCAAGGTTTTTGGTTCACCCATTCTCAATAAACAGAATACAAGCAATGAAGTCTTCAGCTGTGCTTATTGCTGCCAAATTGCCCCTATTCATAACAACAATGAGATTTTCACTGAGTGTAACGGTCATCACTCAGCCATGACTGGTGAAGGTGGATAGGCTTCAGAAGCTCACTGTGGAGCAATAAAAGCAATTTGCAACTTATTTAGGGAAGGAGGAATAATTTGGCATGAAGCTATAAGCTGTACCAGAATGTTTTTTTCAAAAATCGGTTTTTTTTTCTAAGGAAACTGGATAGTCTAAGTCCTAAAACCTGAAGATTGCAGTCCAAGATAGGCAGACAATGACTGACCTACTGTAGCAGAATTAGTGCACTCTGAGGTGTAGATTTGCACAACCCGAAAGTATGGGAACAGGTCAACTCGTACCATGGACAACTCATACCATCAACTCAACGTAACTGTACTAACTCGTACATATGCCAAGTCGCACCTTGGACAACTTGTACCTTCGCTTATGAGTCAACTCCTACCTTCACAGAAATCAGAGTTTGCTCAGAGCATATTATTGTAATTAACTTGAACAATAATTTGATTTCTTAGTCATGTGTTCATCACGTACATGTAATTTGCTGTTTTGGCTACACTGCCTTATGGCATTATTGCAACTAGAACGGCAGAGCCACCATGGCTCACTGCTCGTTATGAATTTGAATTTCTTTCCTGTAACAACAGCTTACATGTACGTTAAGAGACATCCAAGTTATATAAATATGGTTACTAAATTAAACATGAAAATACTAGCTTCATCCAAATCTTTTTCAAGATTGGTGGACATACGACTGCAATACAGATGTAAAAGATATTTTATCAACCTTAGCGATTAAATTCATTATGCTCTAGGAGAAAAAACCTAGTTAGTGCTGTGTGCAGACTGTGATATGAAAGGCACCTGTTGTTTAAAAACAATCAACAAAGACCACCAACAAGGGAGATACAGG